CGGGGACAGGGGGACAGAGCGGGGGGATGAGTCACCGACCCTTCCGAGTCATCACTGCAGCGGCAGCGTCCCCAAAAACAGGGGGAGGGGACACACGACACGGCTGGGGGAGAGGGCAAGGGGGGCTCGTGCAAAGGGGTGCTGGAGCTGGAGTCTGGGGGGATGGAGGGAGCTGGAGGGGGGGATTTGGGTGCCCCCCCAAAGTCTCACCTGCTTGTAGGTGACCCCCAGCTCAGTGACGTCAGGGTCCCCAGGGGCCTCGGCCTCGTCCCCGCTGTCACCCGGCTCCTGGCAGCCCTCGGGGTCCTGTGGCTGCTCCGGGGGGTCCTCGGCCTCTGGGGACACGAGGGCGAGGGGGGGGCCGAGGGGACCCCTCTCCCCCGGGGGGGGCGATTGCTGCTCCGTCAGCTCCTCCTCCGTCTCCTCGGGGTGGGTGGGGGGCTGCCGGGCCAGCTCCCCCCCCTTGGGGAGCAGCTGGGGGAGGGGCACGGGGGTTAAATGACCCCCCCACACACCCTCTATCTGCCTCATCACCCCCTTTGCACCCCACACCCCCCACTTTATCCATCCCTTCCCCATTTTCCCACCCTCTGCCTCAGTTTCCCCCGCTCGCACCGCTGCACTTTGAGGGGGGGTCAGCGATGCCCCACACCCACCCCACACCCCATTCCCACCCCATCCAGGCCCACCTTGGCCAGCTGGAGCTGCTGCTTGTCCAGGAAGTGCTGCTGGAGGGGGCCGTGGGGGCTCTGCGGCAGCGGCGAGGACTGCGTGCGGCTCAGGGGCCGGTGCCGCGGCAGCTTGCTGCCCCGGGGAGCCCCCCCACGCTCCCCGGTCACCAGCGGGGACTGCCCGTGCAGGGGCACTGCGGGCACGGCGACAGCGGGGTCAGAGCCCCCCAGCCCGCCCCCGGGGTGTGGGGAACCGGGGGAGATGTGGGACAGGCTGGGGGGGTGGGAATGGGGGAAGGGAGGGGGTGAACGGAACTGTGGGGGGAACTGAGGCGAAACTGGGGAAGGACTGGGGGGGACAAAGAGCGGGGACTGGGGGGACATTGACAGGCGATTGGGGGGCAGCAAGGGAGGACCAGGGGGATGCTGAGGGGGGATCAGGGGGACACTGAGGGGACACAGAGGATGGATCGGGGGGACACTGAGGGGACATTGAGGAGGACTCTGAGGGGGACACGGAGGAGGGACCAGGAGGACACAGAGGGGACACGGAGGGAGTGATCGGGGGACACTGAGGGGACACTGAGGGAGGACCAGGAGGACACAGAGGGGACACGGAGGGAGTGATCGGGGGACACTGAGGGGACACTGAGGGAGGACCAGGAGGACACAGAGGGGACACGGAGGGAGTGATCGGGGGACACTGAGGGGACACTGAGGGAGGACCAGGAGGACACAGAGGGGACACGGCGGGGACACGCGGCAGGCACACGGGCTCACCTGCAATGAGCGTGCTCTGCTGCCGCGCCTGCTCCAGCAGCAGCACGTGCTGCAGCAGGGACGGGGACCCGGAGGGGGTGTCCCCGTCCAGGGCCACCCCCAGCAGGCAGCCCGGGATCGAGGACGTGCTCAGGAACTTGCCGGTGAGGGTGGCCCCGGGGCGCAGCGGGGACACCCCCGGGGGCACCCCCGGCCGCTCGCCCTCCGCCTGTGGGGACAGCTTGGGGGACACCTGTGGGGACAGTGGTGACGCTGGGGGTGCCAGCTCCCTGTGCCACTCCTGTGGGGTCCCCACGTTCCTGCTGGAGGGTGCCAGGCCACCGTGGCACCCCACACTGTATGCCCGTATCCCACCCGCCACGGTGTCCCCATGTCCCCAGGGGGACACTCATGCTCCCTGTGTGGAGTTTCAGGTAACCATGTCCCCAGGGGGTCACTCATATCTCCCCTGTGGGGTTCCATGTCCCAGTGCCACCCGCCACGGTGTCCCCATGTCCCCAGGGGGACACTCATGCTCCCTGTGTGGAGTTCCAGGTCCCCATGCCCACAGGGGGTCACTCATGCTCCCTGTGCGGGGTTCCAGGTCCCAGTGCCACCCACCACGGTCTCCCAATGTCCCCAGGGGGACACTCATGCTCCCTGTGTGGCGTTCCATGTCCCAGTGCCACCCACGACGGTGTCCCCATGTCCCCAGGGGGTCCCTCATGCTCCCGTGTGGAGTTCCAGGTCCCAGTGCCACCCGCCATGGTGTCCCCACATCCCCAGGGGGTCACTCATGCTCCCTGTGTGGGGTTCCAGGTCCCCGTGCCACCCCCATCGGGTTCCCACCACGGGGTGCCAAGTCCCAGTGCCACCCAGCCCAGGGTCCCCGTGCCCCCCCCATCGGGTTCCCATGTCCCCACCACGGGGTGCTAAGTCCCAGAGCCACCCAGCCCAGGGTCCCCGTGCCCCCACTCACGGGGAGGTGGGCGCTGGTGACGGTGACAGTGGCCTGCAGCCCCAGGGACAGGTTGGGCAGCGATGGGGACGTGTAGAGGCTGAGCTGGGCCCCGTCCAGGGCCAGGGCACGGGGCTGGGGCAGGAGCTGCTGTGGCACCGAACGGCAAACGTGGCATCAGCACCGGGGGGACACGGCAGGACAGGACAGGACAGGGCAGGGCAGGGCAGGACAGGACAGCCACCAGCACGCGTGGGGACAGGGCAGGACGGGGCAGGACAGGACAGGGCAGCCACCAGCACGTGTGGGGACAGGACAGGACAGGACAGCCACCAGAATGTGCGGGGACACAACAGGCCACCAACATGTGTGGGGACACACCACCAACACATGTGGGGACAGGACACCACCCCCGCACACACGTGTGTCCCTGTCCCGGGCGTACCTCGCTGTGGATGTTGGGGACAGAGGCGGCCAGGCCGTTGTGCAGGGCAGCCACCAGAACGTGTGGGGACACAACAGGCCACCAACATGTGTGGGGACACACCACCAACACATGTGGAGCATGACACCAGCAAGTCTGGGGACACAACAGGACAGGCCACCAGCACATGTGGGGACACGCCACCAACACGTGTGGGGACAGGACCCCCCGCGCACACGCGTGTCCCTGTCCCAGGCGTACCTCGCTGTGGATGTTGGGGACAGAGGCGGCCAGGCCGTTGTGGGCACCGTGGGAGCTGTTGGGGGAGCTGGGCCCCGACCCGGGGGCACTGCTGCACACCGATGACACTGCGGGACACAGGCGTGTCACATGGGCACGGGGACACTGCTCTGAGTCACACACACAGAGTGGGACACAGGCGTGTCACATGGGCACGGGGACACTGCTCTGAGTCACACACACAGAGTGGGACACAGGCGTGTCACATGGGCACGGGGACACTGCTCTGAGTCACACACACAGAGTGGGACACAGGCGTGTCACATGGGCACGGGGACACTGCTCTGAGTCACACACACAGAGTGGGACACAGGCGTGTCACACGGGCACGGGGACACTGCTCTGTGTCACACACACAGAGTGGGACACAGGCGTGTCACACGGGCACGCGGACGCTGCCCTGTGTCACACTGACACTGCTCCGTGTCACACCGACACCACAGGACACAGGCATGTCACACGGGCATGGGGACACTGCTCCTGTGCCACACAGTGTGTCACACCCTGACACCCCACGTGTGTCACATGTGTCACCTCAGCCGCGGGAGGCCAAAGTGGCTCTGGGGAAGCACCCAGTGAGCGAGCCCCAGGCGCGAGCCCGGCCCGTGTCCCCACAGTGTCCCCACCACAGTGTCCCCACAGTGTCCCCGCCATAGTGTCCCCATCACAGTGTCCCCACCATGGTGTCCCTGGGTGTCCCCACCACAGTATCCCCACCACGGGGGCCCCACAGTGTCCCCACCATAGTGTCCCCATCACAGTGTCCCCACCATGGTGTCCCCACCATGACATCCCCACAGTGTCCCTGTTACGGTGTTCCCACAGTGTCCCCACCATAGTGTCCCCGGGTGTCCCCACCACGGTATCCCCACCACGGTGTCCGCACCACGGTGTCCCCACAGTGTCCCCACCATGGTGTCCCCACCATGACATCCCCACAGTGTCCCCACTACGGTGTCCCCAGTGTCCCCACCATAGTGTCCCCGGGTGTCCCCACCACGGTGTCCCCACCATGGTATCCCCACCATGGTGTCCCCAGGTGTCCCCACCACGGTGTCCCTCGGTGTCCCCGGGTGTCCCTGTGGTGTCCCACCACAGTATCCCCACCACGGTGTCCCTGGGTGTCTCCACCACGGTGTCCCCACCACAGTGTCCCCACCACAGTGTCCCCACCGCGGCGTCCCCGCTGTCCCCACCACGGTGTCCCCGGCGTCCCCGCGCACCGGTGATCTCCACGTGCCGCTTGCGGAAGGCGCTGAGCACGGAGCCGTCGCGGCGCCGCAGCAGGGGGCTGCTCCTCCTCTCGGCCACCTTCTGCTTCAGCCGCGAGCGCACCTTCAGGTTGGGCTCCGAGGCTGCCGACGCAGACGTGTCACCCGGAGTGCCACCGCCGCCCCCCGCGGGCGCGGCACGTCCCTCCCCGCCGTCACCCACCGGTTTTGCGGAGCGGGAAATCGTCCCGGCCGTCGTAGGTGCCGAGGAGGGGGAGCTTGTAGGACGGGGGGGTCCCCGGGCTGCCGGTCTGGGGGGGGGAACTCTGGTCCAACGAGGTGTGGTGAGCCCTGGGCGGGGGGGGGACAAGGTGGCAGAGACCCCGCTAGGACCCCCGTGTCACCCCCACGGTGCCTCGGGGGGGGTCCTGCAGGGCTCGGGGGCACCTACCAACATTTGGGGTGCTGGGGGAGGGAATGGTTGGGGGGGCCGGGGCCCGGCTCCTTCGTCTTGCTGAGCAGGAATTCCTGGAGCTTCAGCTTCACCTCGGTGCTGGCGATGGCGCCTGGGGGCACGGGGGGGTTCAGGGGGGCAGCACATCCCTCCCTCCAGCCCCTCAGCACCCTGCAGGCCCACTGCACCCCCAAATCCCGCCGCAGCCCCCCCCCCCGGCTCACTGTCACGGCCCCGCTCCTTGGGGCGCAGGCTCTGGAGCTGCTCCAGGCGCTGCTGCTCCAGCTCCTGCCGCTCCCGCTGCCGCTGCTGCTCCAGCTCCTGCTGCCGCCGGGCTGCCAGGGCCTCCTGCTGCTGCTGCGGGGCGGGGGCACCGCGTGGGACCCCGGCCCCGGCCCCAGGAGCAGCGTGGCTCACGGCACAGTCACCGCCCGGTGTGCCCCCAAGAGCTCCATCCCTCCCTCAGCCTCCGTCAGTGTCACCCCATGGCTCCGTCACTGCCACCAGTGACACCCCACGGCTCTGTCACTGCCAGTGTCCCCCCCAAATGGCTCCATCCACCCCAATATCCACCCCCCATGGCTCCATCCACCCCAATATCCACCCCCCACGGCTCCATCCACCCCAACCCCATGGCTCCATCACTGCCAGTGTAACCCCCAAACAGCTCCATCCACCCCAATATCCCCCTCAATGGCTCCATCCACCCCAATATCCCTCCCCAAACAGCTCCATCCACCCCAATATCCCACTTGAGGTGCTTCTGCAGCTGGACCTGGTGCTGGCGGGTGAGGTGCTCGTGCTGCTTCTGGAACTCGGCGAAGAGCAGCTGCTTCTGGAGCTGCTGCTGCTGCTTCAGGGCCACCAGCTCCCGCTGCAGCTGCTGCTCCCGCGCCGCCGCCAGCCCCGCGTCCACCCCCGCCTCCGGCCCCGGCCCCTCGGGCCCCTCCGGCCCTGCCGGACACGCTGGGTCGGGGGGGAAAAGGGATGGGGACCCCCTCCCGGTGATGATGGAGGGGGCTGGGAGGTGTTGAAGGGGCAGGTTTGGGGTGGTGCAGGGATGCGGCGGC